AAGTGATTCTTCTGCCTCAGCCTTCCGAGTAGCTAGGATTGCAGGCACCCCCCACCACATCCAGCTAATTTTTGTATTTATAGTAGAGACAGAGTTTCACCATCTTGGGCAGGCTGGTTTCAAACTCCTGACCTTAGGCGATCCATCCACCTCACCTCCCAAAGTGCTGGGATTACAGGCATGAGCCACCACAACCAACCTATTTATTTATTTACACAATTGTGGAGGCTAAGAAGTCTCATAACCTATAGTCAGCTCAAGCTGGAGACCCAGGAGAGCTGACAGTATATTTTCAGTCTGAAAGTCAGTAGGCTCTATACCTAAGAAGAGCTGTTATTTCATTTCAAGTTCAAAGGCAAGGACAGACTAATATCCAAGCTCAAGGAATTTAGGCTGGAGAAGTTCCCTCTTATTCATTGGAGGGTCAAATTTTTATACTTTTTGGGCCTTCGACTGATTGAATGAGGGCCAACCACATTAAGAAGGGCAATCTCCTTTACTCAGTCCGCCCATTCAAATATCAATCCTGTCCAAAACACCCTCACAGAGGAAAGTAGAGCAATATGGTGGAATAGGACTCTCCAGCAATTTTTTCCTTAGAGAAACATGAATCTGAACAACCATCCATGTATAAAAACACCTTCACAAGAGCTAAGGAAATCAGGTGAGAGATTGCAGCACCTGGTTATAGAAGAAAAGACACATTTAAGGGGGTAGGAAGAATAGTTTTACATTACCCATGTCACCCCTCCCCCAAGACCAGGTAGTACAGCATGGAAAAAGATAAACTGTCTGCTGGGAGGAAGAGAGGAAAGTAAACTTAAGACTCTGCCGTGGACAAAATACCAGGCCTGTCACAGTAAAACTCAACACTGGGCAGAATCCCCATGGCCCCTGACTCAGGCCAGTAACTTCAGACTGAGACTAGACCCATTCCAGCATTAGCTGGGAAACCATAGCCCCTGTGAGACAAACTTGTGTTCCAGTCCACATCACCATCAGCCAACTACAGTGGTCCTGGGTTCCAAATAACCCATAGCAACAGGCAGGCCTCAGTGACTGCAGGCTTCAGATGTACCCCAGTGTTGCACTAGCCTTAGCAGCTATGGGCTTTGGGCACACCCAAGTGCTGCACAGCCTCATTAGCCACAGGATTCCAGCTCAGTGCTAGGTCAGCAGCTTCCGTGGCCATGGGATTTCAGCCTGGGACTGTGCTGGCCACAGTGGTCCTAGGCTTTGGGTACTCCCTAGAGCTGCAAGGGCTGCAGTGGTCACAGGCTCAGAGACAACACCATATGACCTGCCTAGAATCTCTGGACCGAGTTACTGTTAGATGATGTTCCCAGACAAAGCCACACTGCGAGGGCTAGAATAAGTAACTGCTTCTTCAATGCACACACAGTGATACATGACCACAAGATCAAGAACAATCAGGGAATCACGACTTTAGTGAACAGACAAAATAAGATGCCAGTGACTGACCCTAAAGAGACAGAGATATACAAACTATATGCCAAGGAAATAAAAAACGGCTATTTTAAAGATGCTTAAAGAATTTCAGAAAATACAGAGAAACAATTTGGCAAAATGAGGAAAATAATAAATGGTCAAATGAAAAATTTAACAGAGAAATTTAAATAATAAAATCAGACAAATTTTAGAGCTGAAAAATACAATGAATGAAAAAATGTAACAGAGAGTATCAACAGGCCAATTGATTAGTCAGAAGGCAAAATCTGTAAACTTGAAGATTTATAGGTTATATGAAAATATACAGTCAGAGGACAAGAAAGAAAAAATAATGCAAAGGAATAAAGAAACTATAGGATTTATGGGATAGTATCAAAAGAGCAGATATGCAAATTATCAGCATTCAAAAGGAAGTAGAAAAGTTTATAAAAGGCTTATTTAAAGTACTAATAGCAGAAAACTTCCCAAACCTGGAGAAAGATATAAGTATCCAAGTACAGGAAGGTCAAAGATTTGCAATCAGATTTGATCCAAATAAGACTACCACAAGACATATTATAATCAAACTATAAAGATCAAAGACAAAGATAGGATCCTAAAAGCAGAAAGAAAAAAGAACAAGTAACATATGAGGGGGTTCCAATATGCCTAGCAGGAGATTTCTCAGCAAGAACCTTACAAGCCAGGGAAGAGTGGTAGTCAAAGTACAAAAGGATAAAAAAATATTGTCAATCAAGAATACTATACTCAGCAAAACTGTTGTTCAGAAATGAACATGAAATAAAGGCTTTCCCAATCACACAAAATCTAAGAGACTTCTTCATCACCAGACCCGTCTTACAAGGAATGCTAAAGGGTGTTCTTCGAGGTGAAAGAAAAAGACACTAATGAGAAACACAAAAACATCTGAAAGTATAAAACTCACTGGTAAAAATAAATACAGTCAAACTCATAATACTCTGATACTATAATGGTAGTGTTTAAATACTGTAATGTGGGTGTATAAATCACATATCTTCAATAGGGCTAAAAAATAAAAGTATTAAAAATAATAACAATAGCAACTTGTTGATGAATATGCAATATAAAAAGATGTAAATTCTGAAACTGAAAGCACAAAATGTGGAGGAAAGAAAGTGGAGTTAAAGTGTAGTTTCTGTGTATGTATATAATCCAAGTTAACTTGTTATCAGTCTAAAATAACCTGTTATATTCATGTTTTTATGAAGCAAAAACCTACAATAGATACACTAAAAATAAAAATCAAGGAATCAAAAACATCACCACAGATACATCTGTAATGTTTAAAAAGTATCTTGGTATCTCATGGCCCAGTCAAACTGACACATGAAATTACCCATCACATAACTTATCTTCTGGGCTCTGGCTATACAAAATGAAAAAAGTTTCTGTCCTCATGGACTTTACATCCTATTGAGGGGATCACATAAGTAATTTCTTTTTTCCCCACAACCAAGTGTACACTTGAGAGTTGTTGTTGTTTTTTTTTTTTTTTTTGAGATAGAGTCTTACTTGTCACCCAGGCTCGAATGCAGTGGTGTGATCTCGGCTCACTGTAACCTCTGCCTCCCAAGTTCAGGCAATTCTCCTACCTCAATCTCCCAAGCAGCTGGGATTACAGGTATTTGTATTTTTAGTAGAGGTAGGGTTTCACCATGTTGGTCAGACTGGTCTTGAACCCCTGACTGAGGTGATCCACACACCTCAGCCTCCCAAAGTGCTGGGATTACAGGCATGAGCCACCACGCCTGGACCACATAAGTAATTTCTAATTCTGCTAGGTGCTAATATTGTAGACCAAGGAAAGAGGTATACGCAGGGAGACATGGGTGGGCAGAAACATTGAACCTTATAGTGAAAGTGAAGAGGACCTAGAGTCTTCGAGCTCAAGAGTGAAATTACAGTTATGCTATAGGAAGAGTAATTTGATATTAAAGTACAGGGTGACACAGTAGAGAGGCACTAGAGGCAGAGAAGTTATCTCAGAAGCAAGCAAATATTGGATGTAGGGAACATGATGGAAATGAATAAAAGAGAAAAAAGAAGGGAATGTAATAGTATTCGGAGTTGAGGCCTTTGGGAAGTGATTAGATCATGAGGGTGGAGCCCTTAAAAATAGGATTAGTGCCCTCATAAAAGAGACTCCGGGGAACTTTCTTGCCCCTTTCCACTATTTGAGGACCCAAACCAAATTTGTAGTGCTCAACCCAGAAGAGGGCTCTTACAGAACTTGACCTTGCTGGCACACTGATCTCAAACTCCTATCCTCAGGAATTGTGAGAAATAAATTTCTATAGTTTATTAGCTGAGTAGTTTTATGGTATTTTTGTCATGGCAGCCTCAACTGACTAAGATGGGAAGAAACTATCTGTTATGTGTTATACATACTCTTAGTAGTTTTCACATATATGAACTAAGAAGTGTCAGAAAGTGTGAAAACTATAAGAAAGATACTACACCACAGTTGATTTTGTTGAAGACTTTACAGATGATTTTGTTTATGTGTGTACATGAACACAACCGCCTAATCATTTGTGGTTGGGTAGGTAAGGCTGAAAGAGACAGAGGTCTAAAAAGACCTATGGTTTCAAATATGAGTAACTGCTAAGGTAATAATGGTATTATGAGGAAGAAAAGGATAACACAAAGAGAAAGTATGAGTGGGGTAAGATACTGAGTTATATTTTTGAGAAAAGTCAGGAATCCAAGCAAAACTGCTAAGTAGCAGGAGATATAGGGCTAGAGGTAAAAGGAGAAGCTATGCCAAGATATATATATATACGTGGTACCTGAAGCAATGACATGTACTTTGGTTACTAATGGAGAGACTGAAGATAAAGAAGACATATTCTTATAAATTCCTCACTTGAGGAATTCCATCAGTTAGGAAGTAGAGGAGAAAATGAAAGAAAAGAACAGCATAGGCTAGGGAATGGAAATGAGATATTTACCAAAGTATAGAACTAACAAGAACAGATTCATTTACTAATGCCAATCTTAAAAATAAAGCCAAAGAAAGTCAAGCCTTTAGATAAGTATTAATCTAAAACATGTTTCAAGAAAATAACACCAATTCCCTTTGGAGAGGGGAACTGCACCCGAGGGCAGGGATCAAAGGAAGACTTTTCACTAAACTCTGTAACTTTTGGAATTTAACCATAACAGTGTATTGCTTACTCCAATAAATAAGAAAATAAAAAAAAAAAAAGTTTAAATATGTTCTAGTTCCTATCAAGTTTGTCATTGTTAGCATTCTACAATCCTTCAAGAGGCCACAGAAAAACTGAAATTTCAGAAAAAAATAAAACCTAACTTCTTTTCTGAAAAAAGCAAGGCAGAGATTATATTAAGGGTCAGAAAATTTGCCTTTGGGGATTGGGGATCAGGAGGGGAGAGAAGCCGATTGCCTGCAACGATAAACTCAATTCCATTGCTATTTTTAGCCCATTTTTTTAGTCTGTTGCTAAGAAACCCTATTGCCTGAAGGCAATTTACTAATAGGAACTTACAGGAAGCAGGAGAAACCGGTGATCCTGAAATTCTTTCAAATTAGGCCATTCTATTTCAATCAGTCCCTTTTGGTGGCACTCGATAAAATATCTCCTTTCAAACTTTATGTAGCACTACTGTGATGTTGTTGCACTTAAAAGCAAAACGATCATTTATTGAATTTTAATGTAAGGCTTCTGCAACCAGTATATCAGAAATGGAGAGCCACAGTTCTCATTTTCCACTAATATTTGTATTTTCTTCGTGAAAATACCATGGATTTCAAACACTGCCCTGCAAGGTAATTTTTAGATTTTAAGAGATCTGGTGCAGAGCATGGGAAAAAGTTGACAGACAAAGCTATTACAGAAACGAAAGCTATTAATTGAATTACGAGTTGGGAATGAGAAGGAAAGAGGCTGAGACAGCTACTGCAAAACAACTGGCGGGGGGCGGGGGATGCGCGGATCAGAGCCAGATGTGGGCTGGTGTGTCACGCAGACACCAGCTCAAGATGCAAACACGCCTTTCGCTCGAAGCCGGCGGGAACCCTGAAGCTTCGCATTTCTACCAACTCAGTTTAAGAAACCCCTAACAACGTAGATGACATCGCCTTCGTAACTGGTGCTGACGAAGAGCCGCAGCGACCATGCCCAAGCCGTTTCGATTGGAGCCAACCTAGACTTGCCATTTCCTCCTTAGTCTTCGGTCATCGCTCTCTGCCCTATAACCTCAAATTCGGCCAAACTAAAATCTGGCTACGGTAGTGATAAGAAGTTCAGTGATACAGCAGGCTTCTTTAGCGCCGAGCTCTTTCCTCACACATCTTTAAAAGTCCTTCCAATCCGTTGGTTTCCCCGACACGCGGGCAGAAAACCGAGCTAACGGCCACCGAGAAGAAGCGCCAACGTGGCTGTAACTGGAAAACCGGGTCCGAAGTCTACCAGTAAACAACGTGGATTGGCATACGCCCCGCCCACCAGCCGTGCCAGCCAATAGCCTTCACAACTCTTCTGTTACTCCCGCCCATTCCAGTGCGGCGGCGCTGCTTTTCCTCAGCTCTCATCTCTTGAGCGCCACAGCACGCTATATACGCGCCCTTCCTTGGCTTCACGAGGCAAGAGGCCCATCTGCCTTTCTCTCCTGAAGGTAAAGGGGACAACACCAACTGCAACGGGACTCCAGAAGTGAATCTCCTGAACAGCAGCGGGGTGAAAAGAAAGGAAAAGTGTTTCCGAGGATTCCCAGTCACGCCCACACTTTCTCTTGACCCGGAAGTGATTTCTGCTCCTCCTCCCGCTATGGTTGAGACTGGAGGAGAAGGACGGCCAGGTCTGGCCCGGCATGCTCTGGGCTTCCGGTGACCTCTGGCCCTTTCTGTCGTCCGCTCTCTCTGCCTAGCGTGCTCTCTCGCGCATTGCTTTCCTTCGGTCTCTCGGTCTTCCTTCGCACGCTGCTTGGTGATTGTGGCGCGCGCGACAGGCAGGGAGGCGGTGGCGGAGGACACTCGTCATGGCCGCCTCTAAGCCTGTGGAGGCGGCAGTGATCGCAGCAGCTGCACCGAGCTCCGGGAGTGGGGTGGGCGGCGGTGGGACTGCGGGCCCGGGCTCGGGGGGGCTGCCGCGATGGCAGCTGGCTCTGGCCGTCGGGGCACCCCTGCTGCTGGGCGCGGGCGCCGTGTACCTGTGGAGTCGGCAGCAACGGCGCCGGGAGGATGGAGGCCGGGGCGACGCCAGCGGCCTGAAGCGCAACAGCGAACGGAAGACCCCGGAAGGCAGGGCCAGTCCGGCCCCGGGCAGCGGACACCCCGAAGGCCCCGGTGCTCACCTGGACATGGTGAGAAGCAGCCCCAGGCCGTAGAAGTGGAAACTGGCGGGTGCAGCTTTTCCTTGGCCGGTTGTGCCGGTGAGGGGGCTTCCCGTGAGACGGTAGCTGCCAAGCGGCAGCACAACACATGGGTTAAGGGAGACTCATTTCTGGCTGCGTGTGGAGGGCACAGAGTAGCCCGATGACAGGTTACTGGCATTCTTTGATAGTTTCCTTTTGGTTTCAGAAAAAATCTTGCTCTTTTCAGTGACACAGCATTTATCCCTAGTGTTGTAGGTGGGAGGGGTGCATTTGCAAATACGATGCTTGTATTTAGTAAGTGAAGGAAGCTAAATGCCACGAACGATTGGTACATCGTGATACGAATTGTTTTTGTTATTTCCAAAGCCTACAAATTAATCAGTAAGAACCGTTTAATAACGAGCCACTCCCCCCTTTGGAGTGTGTTTTTGCGAAGCGGGGGGCGGGGGGGGTGTTCGTGGGCGGTTAGTTGACAAAAGCAGAACAATAAAAAAGCCAGTTAGATGGCTTTCTACATAAAAAGGAAGACTACACAGGTACTAAAGAGTGAAATGGTGTTCAGTGGCATTTGTTTTACAGCCTCTGAACTGTAAGCAGAACTGTCAAGCTCCCAAGGCTCATCCTCTCTCAGGACCTCTGAAGCCCCTTTGACCGCAGGCACTCAGCGCCCGGAACCTCCCCTGCCATGCCCCAGCCCCGAGGTGTCCTTTTACACTCCAGACCCCCCGGCCTTTCTCTCTCAGAAAACGCTCTGCATTGCCCTGTCCCCTCTTGTTGCAAAAGAGTAACAGCCACAGCAGTGCTGACCAGACTTGGCTGCGCACAGCCCCCGGCCCCAGCTCCAGGCCCGCATACACCCATGCGCGCGCGCGCACACACACACACACACACACACACACAGACACACAAAATGGGAGTGACTTCTTAAACTTTTTGATAAAACATCTTAAACTCAGTTTTTCTATTTTACCTGGAAATGTACATGACCAAGCCTAATATGAATGATACAGATTCTCTGATGTTAGGCCGAACATTGGAGTATTTAGTGAACTGCTTTGTATGGTTTTGTTGAACTGAATGTTAAATCCTTTTGGCATCTGACAGCTGTGCAGAGAATTAGCCTGGCTGCATTTGACAATACTGGGATTGGTTGTGGTGGATTTTATCTGGGTCTGGAGTTGCTCAGTGGTAGTACCAGAGTAAGTTGTGGTCAGAGAAACCTTTGGTTAAATATCTCCCAGTTTTATGCATATGTATATACAGTTGGTCAAGTAACTTCTAATTGTATCCAAGTGTATACAGTTAAATACGTATGCAAGTCATTTCCATCTGACTATTCAGGTTGAACGTATTTTTACTAGGATGTCAAATTAGCTTTAAAGGAAGTTTTGGTGTAGGACTGAACAAACTGTAGTATCTACAGTGTGTGAGGCATTGTGCTAGGCCATGAGAGAGCCATATGATCTCTCCTATGGGAGAGTGAAGCGTTGCCTATTTTCTTAAGATGGAAAAGATTTATCATTGGATAGTAGAGAATCTATGGATGTGAGATCTAGGATTTGTGACCTTTATAGTAGGCTCACCGGCATTGTTACTTTGGGAAAGTCATTTTATCTCCTTGCCCTTAGCATCATCCCTGTAGAATAAGAGGGTTAAGATATTAGATCTCTTCTGTTTCTTCCAGTACTAAAAATTGATAATTTTGATTATGATCATCCATAATAGCTACTGCTACTATTAAAAGCAGTTATCAAGAAGATTCTTTGAATTAATTATCACGTGTGTTACATCTTTTTCAGATGTATGAAATTCTCCAGTCATTGGGCCGGGCGCGGTGGCTCACGCCTGTAATCCCAGCACTTTGGGAGGCCGAGGCGGGTGGATCACGAGGTCAAGAGATCGAGACCATCCTGGTCAACATGGTGAAACCCCGTCTCTACAAAAAATACGAAAAATTAGCTGGGCACGGTGGTGCATACCTGTAGTCCCAGCTACTCAGGAGGCTGAGGCAGGAGAATTGCCTGAACCTAGTAGGCGGAGGTTGCCGTGAGCCGAGATCGTGCTGTTGCACTCCAGCCTGGGTAATGAGCGAAACTCCGTCTCAAAAAAAAGAAAAGGAAAAAGAAATTCTCCAGTCGTTTTTTATTTCACTTGTTAATTTAGTTTTAATCATGGAAGAATAGTGGATAAAATAAAGATACATAAAACTTCTCAGTTCTATAAACATTAAAAATAAAGATAGTTTCTATATATGAAACTCCATTTTTTTGTTGAGATGGAGTTTCACTCTCGTTCAGGCTAGAGTGCAGTGGCACAATCTCACCTCACTTCAGTCTCTGCCTTCTGGGTTCGAGCAATTTTCCTGCCTCAGTCTCCTGAGTAGCTGAGATTACAGGTGCCCACCACCATGCCCGGCTAATTCTTGCATTTTTGGTAGAGTCGGGGGTTTCACTGTGTTGACCAGGCTGGTCTCAAACCCCTGACCTCAGGTGATCCACCCGCCTTAGCCTCCCAAAGTGCTAGGATTACAGGCATGAGCCACCGCACCAGGCCAAAACTAGATTTTAACATTTCATTATAGTTTCAACCACCCCACCTCATCCCAGGGGTTCTGTACCATTGGTATTTGGTAAAGCTTAGCCAAATCCTTTTCAGATTTTAGGTTTCCTTAATTCCTCTTTTCTGCTTTTCCACATTGTCTGGATCAACACTGATGATTTTTTAATTTCATGATATTTCATAGTTTTTGTTTTACAAATAACGTTTTATTCACCTGACTGCTGTTAAAAATTAGAATTTTTTTTTTAGATGGAGTAATGCTCTGTCGCCAGGCTGTAGTGCAGCGGCGCGATCTTGGCTCACTGCAACCACCATCTCCCAGTTTCAAGATGTTCTCTTGCCTTAGCCTTCCGAGTAGCTGAGACTGCAGGGACACACCACTACGCCCAGCTAATTTTTGTATTTTTAGTAGAGACGGGGTTTCACCATGTAGGCCAGGATGGTCTCAATCTCTTGACCTCGTGATCTGCCTGCCTCGGCGTCCCAAAGTGCTGGAATTATAGGCATGAGCCACCATGCCCGGCCAAAAATTGGAATTTAAGATTGGATTCTTTGTGCAACTTGAACTGCTTTAAAATGATTTGTTGTTGATCATAAATAAAATTGGGCAAAACACTTGTGCATACCATTGTTCATCTTGTGGAATTTGTAGGCTTACACTTGTAATCTTTGAATTACTGGATTGTTCTTTAGTAAAGCACCAATTTTTTTGAGACGGAGCCTTGCTCTGTTGCCTAGGCTGGAATTCAGTGGCGTGATCTTGGCTCACTATAACCTCCACCTCCCAGGTTCTAGCTGATTTCTCCTGCCTTGGCCTCCCAAGT